TGAGGGGCCATGATGAGGAACTGGGGTCATAAATGAGGGTTACACTGAGGAAAAATTGGGAAGCACTGGTCTACATCGTAACAGTTCTATATACATCATATCATATAAGAAGATAGCCATAAATATTTAGCAAATGTGTGCGTGTAAATATTCAGAATTCTATTTTAAATATGCAGGTGAAGTTTTTCCATCGACTTACTAAGGACTCTAAGAAACAGATGCACACTGAAAGTTCAGAATTATAGTGAACTATCTGCAGGTTGTTTCATGCCCCAAGAGGATCCTTTGGAATAATACTAAAGAATGTTCTCTAGAAACAGCAATTTTATTTACTTTCTAGCTGATTACCTGTTTCACTAGCCAGATTGATTTTCCAGTTTTTCTACATAATTTGGACAATGCTACAAGATGAGGATTTTATTCAGACTGTGGGATGTTTGTACTATTTTTTTCATTGCTAAGGTTATGGTTAAATGTGTGCATATGCATGTGTCTGTGTGCATATGCGTGTGCGCTCTCTAGGAGTCCGAAATTTGCTCCATCTTCACTCCCACCTCATCCATCTACTATTGTTACCAAAGGACTGGACAACAATAGGCAATCTGCTGCCCTTGCTTGTCACTAATACAACACGTTTCTAGTAGGAGCACCGATTTGTACTTACCTAAAAATATCTTGTCTTCAAGTAATAAGAACCACCAGTCCATAAAGCTTCCTTACAGCTGGATCCAGCACAGTCAGGCCTGTCAGTCACTGGCAGAAGAATACCAGCAAAGTTCCCTCCAGTTAGGAGATCCCTCCCACAGTCAGGACACTGGTAATTAAAATCTAAGGGCACCTACACACGTGCCTGACACCTGCTCCAACATGTTCTCATTAGAACATGTCAGAGCACACTCGATTAATCCAGCAGCCTCGGTGCCACATTAATTCAATGTTCCTCTGCTTCAAAATGGCAGCAGGGGCACTTTAACTTAAGCTTAAACGAGCTTTGGTAAAAGCACCCCGCTGCCATTTTGAAGTTTGGGATACGAATAGATAAGATTCTGCGAGCGCTTTAATTAGAGCAACTCCCAAGAGTGCCTCCCCATCCCAGAACACGTGTAAAGACACTTTAACTTTCCTAAACTGAAGTTCAAGTCACAACTTTGTCTACTACAGACCATGGTAAATTCTGCTTAATGATAAATCCAAGTTTTGGAGGTCAGACTCCATCTCCATTAGTCTCCAGGGTGGGCCATACCTATTGCTCAAAAGGAAAGAAATGTTCTGGTGAACATAGATACATTTTCCTATTCTTTCTACGCTAAGGTCCACTGATCCAATATAACAAGCCTTGTGCCTCCATCTTTGGAGCAGTAAGATGTGAACTAGTTTCCTGAAATAAAGGAAGTGACACTGTTTGACTGGACAAGCAATGTGCAGAATTTGAGCTTGCCCACTAATGGCCATGTAGCAGAATGGCACAGGCGATGCAGCAGGAAAAGCAGTGACAGAGGCAAGCAGCGGCAGGGGGCAGGCAGAGCGGGGCTGAAGCTGGAAATGAAGGAGAGTGGTGGTTGGTGAGGGAGGCAGTAGGGGGCAGAGGCAGCTCCGATTCCAACCCTAATCCCAAACCCTGGTCGGGGCCAGGGCTGCAACACCTACCTGCCCTCCCTGCCTTGCATTCAAAGCCAAGACAAAGGGCTTTCCCTCCCCTCTATGTTGAATGTGTTTAATAGGGAGTGGGGGAGGGGGAAGAAGAAAACTTCATGTTGGATTCAAGCAAATACAGTAGCTATAAAAAGGCAGGTGCCAGACCCTGGGGATGCCTCCTTTGCTGTGGCCAAGAGAATAAACTGAATATGGCAGGCGCTAGAAACCTGGGGCTGCCTCTTCCGTTGCTGTGGTTGTAACTGCTGATTTTCCTCTGAGCTGCTGCAAGCTGGAGTCCAACTTTTCATGGGGCTATAGGTTACTGATCCCTGTCCTAAGGATGCATTTAGCATATGCTTTTGTACAAAGCTTCCTTTTATTGAATATGCTGTGACTTGTTTGGAGCACTCACTTTACAGCCCTTCTAGAGAAAATCAAAGCCATTTTTAACATGGACTTTATGCCAGACATTAGAATAAGTTCTGTTTTCTTTTTTGGGGATCCATGAGAGCAATCACTTCTTTAGGCAATTTTATTCTTTATTCATTTTAAACCTGGCCCCAGATGAATGACTGATTTTGCAACAGCAGAGCTCCTTGATGACCAGGGATCCTGGTTTTCCTTGATTAAAAAAATTGCAAATTCTCTGCCAAAAAAAATAAACCACAAATTCTGTAATAAAACCCCAAAATCCATGGCTAAAATTAAAGACTCCCTCACCCCACAACCCCCACCCCTGGCCCTGCTGGTGCCTCTCACTCCCCCTCACAGCCTTGCTGGTGCCCCTCACCCCCCAACCACAGCCCCTGCTCCCCCAATCCTGCCGAAAGGTGCCCCCAGCTGCCAGGGCTATGGACCCAGGTCCACACACCTCTATCCCTGCTCCCCTCTGCTGCGGGCTCAGGCGGGGTGGCTCCCTGCCACCACGCACAATCTCGAGGGACAGAGGGGACCTGTGCCCCCCAGATCTGTATGTGGGCATGAGCTGGTGTGGCAGTGAGCAGCGGGGCCGCACGGGGATCTCTTCATCACTGCAAGGTCTCTGCTGCCTGGCGATGCACCCCCTGCACCTGCCACTGCTTTGAAGGGTGCATCCCCGTGTGCAGGGGATGCATTGCTAAGACAGCGCAGAACTTGCAGCAGCGAGCAGCTTCTCCTCACGGCTCAGCTGCTCCCTGCCGCACCGAGTCATGTCTGCTGGGCTGCGGAGGCCCTGAGAGCGGGAAGCAGGGCGGCAAACTCCTGCGTGGAGAAGCTGCTCACTGCTGCGAACTCTGCACTGCCCTGACAACGTGCTGCAGCGAGAGCAGCAGCACGGGGCTGATCCCCTCAAAGCAGCAGCAGGCACAGGAGACACACTGCCAGGGCAGCAGGGAGCTTGCAGCGGTGAGGAGATCCCTGCGTGTCCTTGCTATGCTGGGTTGTGCCCACTGGGCTGCGGAGGTCTCGGGGCAGGGAAGCGGGGCGGGAGCCCGAACCTACACCTGTCCTGCATACAGATCTGGGGGCTGCAGGTGCCTGGGAGTGCGCGCAGCAGAGGGGAGCCGGCCCTTCCCCTCTCCCTCCTGAACGAGCTGCCTGTGGCCCTGTCCTGCTCCCCACTGGGGCCCTGCAGCCATGAATTGTGGCCCTGGGCCCAAGCCCTGCCCAGCTCCCTCCTGACAGGGGCCTCAATCCCCCTCCACTTACTTGACGGAGCTGCTCTGCAGGCTGCCTGGGGTCGTGTGTCCCATTTCACTGTCTCTCTCCCACTCCCTCCCAGCAGGCTGGAACTCCCCCTGCCTGCAGGGAGCTCATTGCAAAATCCACAGGCTTCTCTGGTAAAACAAGAAATCTGCATTTGCCTCTGGTAAAAGGTAAAGTCCACGGTTTACTCTGTTTTTCTGCAGGAAAGAGAAAACCTGGATCCCTGTTGAAGACAGATGCAATACTAAGTTCATCGAGCCTGAGACACGTAGCTTTTTCAGTCAGAGGCACAAACAGCATCATTCCTGTTTTTTGTACTGTGTTGGGGAGCAGTGGAAGAGGAGTAGGGCAAGAACAGGACACAGATAACTAGGAACTGATTCTTCTTAGCATTGAGTCCCAAACACGAAAGCACATGTATCTGCATAAAATGCATCCTATTTCTACTCCCTTACCACACACCTTTTTACAGGGAGAAGCCAATTCTGGGCATTTGAAACAAACCATATGTGCAGTACTTTAAGACTGCCTATGAAAACATGAGAGGAAATAAAGCTCATCAGGTTGGTGCCACCTAGCAGTTTTCATAGTTCAAAATGACTTGCTGATAGAGCTGGGATAGGTCATCCATCATACAATCAAGGCTGGAGTAGGAGACAGACCTTTTTGGCCTCTGTCTTTCCTCAGTCTACCTCAACTCCTTGAAGTCTATAGGGCTTAGACAGCCTCAGAGTGGGAAGCAGAACTGACAGGAGAGTCTGCAAACATTAAATGCAGCCTGGGACAAGTTAGACATGAGATACATTATTGAGCAGAGCCATTGGTCAGAAAGTTGAAGTAAAAGTTTTCCTCAGAACAGTCTGCAGTAGTGGGCGAGCCAAGGTAAAAAAAGCTTGCCTAGGTCCCCTGAAGGCAAGATGTTCCTTGCTCTCCAACTGCAGCAGATCTGTGACCTCTGCATGGAGAACTGTACTTCTGTGCTGGCACCTTTGGCTGCTAGTATTTATCATGCAGGCCCTTCACCAGCACCTCTGGTTGCCTCTTTTACTCTCAACTGAATGCAGCTTTCTAATAGTTTATAACTTCTGGCTCGTTTGCACACATCTACTTATTATATAAGATAAGATAAAAGCCAGTAATATATGCATGGGGGTAGCAGGAAGGGCAATTACCTCAGGCTGCCATTGGACAGCCAGCAAAGCAGACCCACAGTAGAGCACAGCCCCCTCTTCCTCCTCCCACCATGGGTCTCATGTCCAGAGGGAACTGCCTTAAACATTTAGCTTAATCTACACTCCTGACAAAACCCACAACTGACTGCAAATAACTATAACTTTTGCATCCAAATCCCCTGGCCACGTATCTATTTAAGTGCTGCATAAAGTTTTATTCTTTTTAATACTCCCTTATAGTTTTAGAATTCAGTCAAACGACCTAAGAATTCAAATGTCCGTACTGAAATTTTAGCAATTTAATGATGTGGTATGATTTCCTGGGGGAGGGGGAAGGAAACCAGGCATTTGGTTCTAGTTCAAAAAAGGCGATACACTGCATTGTACATTAATGTATGCACCAACATTAATAAATGGTGAGAAAAAAAATCCTACCTATTCAGGAAAAAAAATACCGTAGAAATAATAACTGAACATTTTGTATCACTGAATAAATTCAAACTCAAGTTTAATTTTACATGTATTTAGATTTATTTGCTATATATCACTATGACCTTATAGTACTTAAAATCCATTACAGGATTTTTTTTTTTTTTTTTAATAGTTAGTCTTAACTCCACAAAGACAATAATACTGCTGTGGAAGACCAAAGGGGAGAAAAGCCATTTTAATTTATTTACAATTCCTTATTTTTGTAAACATTTAATCTACATACTTTACTGTATTCTAACAAGGTAAAGAGCTATACATAGAGACAGGAAATGATGCCCTGTATTTCTATTCATATTGAGCATTAGCATATTATAGATAGAACATCTGCCCTTTTTCATTACCATAGCAGTAAGCTTTCTTTGAATAAGTTTTTAAAACTTTCCAAAGAAGTAAATAAATTTAAGTACTATACAACTACATCTACTTAAGCCAACCCGTTTGGCTTTTATTCCATTTCTAGAATAATTTAAAGTGCTATAAGCAACCCGTCAATCAACACTTCTCTATAATAACAAAACTACTTTTAAACATTAATTTACAAGATAATATACAATGTTCATCTGGAATAGCTGAAATTTCAGCACAAAGTCAGTCACTGTCACACTTAACAGCATTTTTTTTTTTTTTTGCATAACATAGATTAGAAGCTTTGAAACAAAGTTTTGTTGAGCTGTTATTGCCACAGTGGCTTATCAGTTTTCCTACAAAAGTGGACAAGAGCTACTGGTACTGTATTCTAGCCTGTCATTTTTTTGAGGTCACATGACAGTAAGTTTGCATATTCCACAAATCTAATGAATTACAATATTGTCTACCTAGAGTACATTACCCCATTTTTAAATCAGAGCTGGTGCTAACTGTAGTTTACAACATAGACCCACTCAAAAACAATCACAATTATTTTTTCTTTTGGACAGGTATAAGCTATATTTTTGGAGTTGATGTGCTACAAGGCTACAACAGTTTAACAGTAAATATCTGACACTTTATTTTGAAAAAAAATACATCTGTTTCGTAGTCTTGGTACTTTAATGCCCTACTATAGCTACACATTGTTCACTGCATTTTTCTTGCTTTCTCAATTAAATCCAATGGAACTATTATATTCCCCTGCTATTTTATGCATCCTTGCCGCATAGCTCAATACTGTCAAGATTTGTCCCAAACCTATAGATCATTGACAGCTTGTGCAAAACATTCTTTAATACAATCAGCATGCAGCTAGCATATTTGCTATATGATATAAATTGACATGTAATTGCTAAATACAAACAATAAGACAAGTGGCACTACTAAATTTAGATCATAAGGGTAAAGGTGTACTCTAATAAGGAATGCTAAACTTCTTGTCTAATAGTGGCACCATATGAATTTAATCCGTCACTGACCCAAAAACCAACACTGCTAATACCAAATCCTTTCATTGCACTTTCCTCCTATGTAGACCCATAAAGGACAACTCCATTTAGAGACCCAATTTTCAAAGAAAACTAAATCATAATTGATATTCAATGAAACACCTGAAAGGGTTTGGAGAAAGATGCAAAGGTAAAACAAAGACATCAAAGGGGAAGACTCCACAACAGACTTTTATATGCTGCAAGATTCAAAGCAACTGACATTTGGTTTTAGTTTATATGATATACATTTTAGAAGCATCTAAACTTACAGTAAAAATGACAACTTAATAGGATTAAGAGGATGACAAAAAAATAAGTTACGCTATTTCAAAATTATAGTAAATAAAAAGCTGCATTATATTGCTTGTAGGGCTTTTTGAGCTGCACTGATTCATGCCTGGTTTGGGACAATATCCTGTAGAGAATTATACACTTATTCAAACCCCCAGATTTCAATGTCTTGGATAATGAAGTCTTCTCTTTTTGAAAGCATGCGGTTGCTAAAGGTTTTACAAGAATGACTCCTTCCATGGTAGAGATCCCCATCAAGCCACAGGGCAAATTCTCCCCTGAAATACAGAACAAAATAGCAAAAGTTATGAAGACAAAGAATATTAACCTCAACAATGCTGTTTTAGTATTTAATATTCCTAGGTTCTTCTTAACACCAGTTTCCCTCCAGGGTAGCTATAGCTGTGTAGTAAATGTACTAAATTTTGAAATGTACTGTAATAATGGGATAATAAGTAGGTGATGAGATGTTTTTCATGTCACATACAAGCAGGAGATTCTTTCAGGAAACCAAGTTTTAAATAGCGACAGACAAAAGAAAATAATATGATTGGCAGGATGGAGTGTGGTAAACCACAGATACGCTCATTAGAAAAAAAAGTGGGTGGACAATAGGAAGGAGATTTGTTAGACAAACTTGGTTCCAGGAGGTTGAGAAGGAAACCCACAAGACAGGAAAGCAGAGAGACAGTTTGTGTGCACCAGCAATAAGATGTGTGGCAGTTTCCAGCTAGATCTGATAAGTTTCTACAGCTCAGAAGAAGAAACTGTAATGAGAAATTAGAGGGATAAAATGGAGGAAGGGAGAGATTCTTTGCTAGCATGAGTTAATTTGGTGGCACCAGTTAGCACGGGACCGCTAGGATCTCTCCCCCTTACTAAACCAGTTATAAGTGTTCTGATCGAATGCATGTAGCTAACTGTATGGATACATTCATTAATAAGTACTGTAATACAATTATATAAAAAGACTTAGTTTGTATTATTTTACAACATTTTTAAACAGTCATTTACAGTAACTGCATACTTGCTATTAGCCTCCTAATAAAGGAGTTTTAGCTGAATTACTGACATGGTCAATCAAATTCTAATAAGCAGAAGTACAATCTCAACATTAGGCTCTTTTGACACTAGAATTTGATTTTTGGAGAGTGAGGGAGGACCACCTGACTTAAAGATCATACCAGCTTTTAGAACCTCTTCAATTTTGCAGAATCTACATTTAGCTTTAAAGATTATGTTACTTAATTAAAAAAAAATTCTTCTTGGAAAAAATCATAACTCATCTGAAGCAAGAACATCTGCATTAGAAGTGCAGAGAGAATAGAATAGAAGTTCTTTTCTGGGGAAGGATTTAAAAATTATGAAAAAACTACTGAAGTTTGCAAGTTACTATGTTTTAGACTAGTCTGAAAATTCTGAAACTGATTTTTGTGATCAGGTAATTCTTAAAGTGTACTTGTCAGAGTGCCAGCTGTTGGCAGTCTAAAACCTCTGGTTTAATTCTATATTGAAAAGACAATATAAATTTGTGTGAACATGCTTATATGCATCTGTACTTCAATAAACATTTTTAGATATGTGGGGAGCTGGAGGAAAAGCAAGGGCAACCCTGGACCCCTGCTAAACCAGATGGGGCAACTGACAACCAATGCCCAGGAAAAAGCGAACTCGCTAAATGGGACTTTGCATCAATTTTTCACCAGTCCCATGCGATGGCCCTGCCCACTATCGGTCAGGGAAGCCCAGGTGAGGGAGATTCCTTGCCCTCCATCGAAGCTGACCTCGTGAAGGAACACCGTGACAGGCTGGATACCTTCAAGTCAGCCGGCTCTGATGGGTTACACCCAAGGGTACTCAGGGAGCTGGCGAGCATCATAGCTCAGTCACTGGCATGGATCTTTGAGAGCTCTTGGCACTCTAGTGAAGTGCCCGATGATTGGAAGAGTGCCAATGTGGTGCCCATCTTCAAGAAAGGGAGGAAAGTAGATCTGGCTAACTACAGACCCATCAGCCTGACCTCTATCCTGGGGAAGGAATTGGAAAAGATTATCAAAGAAGCCATCCTTAACAAACTAGCTGAAGGCAATATCCTGAGGGATACCCAGCATGGGTTTGTTGTAGGTAGGTCTTGCTTGACCAATCTCATTTCCTTTTATGACCAGGTGACTTATCACCTGGACAAGGGGGAAAGAGATCAACGTTGTATATCTTGACTTTAAAAAAGCCTTCAGTCTGGTATCCCACGATCACCTCTTGGCTAAACTGGTTAACTGCGGCCTTGACCTCACCACAATCCACTGGCTGGGGAATTGGCTCCGCAGTAGGACCCAGAGGGTGGTGGTCGACAGGAGTCAATCGTCTTGGTGCACGGTCACCAGTGGGGTCCCTCAAGGCTCTGTCCTAGGGCCTATACTATTTAACATCTTCATCAATGATGTGGACATTGGTGTCAGAAGCGGACTGGCCAAGTTTGCTGACAACACCAAATTCTGGGGTAAAGCATCCACACCTGAGGACAGGAAGGTGATCCAGGCAGATCTTGACAGGCTCATGAAATGGGCGGACGAGAACCTGATGGTGTTCAACACCGAAAAATGCAAGGTTCTCCACCTTGGGAGGAAAAACCTGCAGCAGGCTTATAGACTCAGCAGTGCTACTCTGGTTAGCACTACAGATGAAAGGGACTTGGGGGTCATGGTTGACCACAAGATGAACATGAGCCTTCAATGTGATGCTGCAGCTAGTAAAGTGACCAAAACGCTGGCTTGCATCCATATATGCTTCTCAAGCAAGTTCTGGGACGTCATTCTCCCGTTGTACTTGGCCTTGGTGAGGCCGCAGCAGGAGTACTACGTCCAGTTTTGGGCTCCACAATACAAAAAAGATGTGGAGAAGCTTGAGAGAGTCCAGAGGAGAGCCACGCGCATGATCAGAGGTCAGGAAAACAGACCTTATGAAGAGAGGCTGAGAGCCATGGGGCTCTTCAGCCTGGAAAAGTGCAGGCTCAGGGGTGATCTGGTGGTCACCTATAAGTTTATCAGGGGTGCTCATCAGGATCTGGGGGAACGTCTGTTCACCAGAGCGCCCCGAGGGATGACAAGATCAAACGATCACAAACTATGCCACGACTGTTTCAGGCTGGACATAAGGAAGAACTTCTTTACTGTACAAGCCCCCAAGGTCAAGCATCCACTTTGAACACCTTCAAGACACATTTGGATGCTTATCTTGCTGGGATCCTATGATCCCTGCTGACTTCCTGCCCCTGGGGCAGGGGGCTGTACTCGAACCTCCAGGGTCCCTTCCAGCCCAAATGTCTATGAAATCTATACATTCATAGTTCTATATTCTACCAAAACTGGGGGTAATGGTATCATTTGGTATCAAAGTTGTGGAGCTAAACAGATTAAACATTTAAGAGCTCACACGCTAAGACAAATGAAAAAGGCTTTTAGTATGTAACACAGATGTGTGACATATTTAGAACATCCAACTCCATATCTATCCGTTTGAAAATTTCACGTTATACTTAACTGAGTCTTTTTTTTTTGGTGCTGCTCCTCATGTTTCAATGCCCTTAATATATTTAGAATACATTTTAATATCTTCTGTTATTCTACACATACAAGAAAACTTTCCCAGTAAGCAGGAGGTATAAAAGTATTCTTGGCCCTCACAAGTTAAAACTAGTAAAAAATTGCTGAAGTAGTCAAAAGCAAGTCCTACAAATTAATTAAAACAGGAGCAGAGCTTATGACCAATATTAGACAGGTTTTTTTTATTTGCTAATTGCTAAACACATGTACTTGTAAATTCGCACTAAAAATTCTTGGGCTTTGAGACTTCTGACAGCAGTCAGTACCAGTTTATTACATACAAAGACTACTATAATTGTCAAACAAAGACCACTTTATTCTAGTCTTCAAAAAGGCAAATTCTAGAAAATTATGACTTACCCTCCTCCGCCAAATGCTAGGGAGTCCATATCACCTTTAATAAAAAACATGTTGTCTCCTGTCCATTTGAAGACCTAATAAAAAAGTAGATTGGCAAGGTAAATGTCTGAAAATTAATTTTTCTAATTTTCAACAAAAAACTAGTATCACTGATGAATTCCATAGCTTGGTATAGTTTCACTAATTGAAAACCTACCAGTTTATTCAAGAATTCTGAACTTTCCTGATCGCACGTTTGAAAGAGCCACCCGGATACCATGTGAAGAACCGCTGCAGTACAGAAGAAAACCCCCCACAAATCACACACTGCTGGTTATGACATATCACCCCTCCCTTGAACCTGTACGGAACATCCTCAAACAACTGCAACCCATTCTAGAAACAGACCCTATTCTTAGAAAGATCTTCCCAGAGCCACCCATCCAAGCCTTCAAACAAGCACCGAACTTGGCTAACCTCATCACCAGAAGCAAACTTCCTCAAGCTCAGAACACACCAAAAGGATCCAGACCGTGCCATGACAAGAAATGCAAAACCTGCCAACACATCTCCACCACCCCCACTATTCCTACACCCCACAACAGAGCCATCAGCATCCCTGGATCTTACAGCTGCACCTCCAGAAGTGTAATATACCTCATCCAATGCACCAAATGCCCTGATGGAAAATATGTAGGAGAGACCAGACAACAACTGCGCACCAGAATGAATGCACACTGGAAATCTATCAAAGACAGAAATACCCAATTACCGGTGGGGGCACATTTCTCACAAGAAAACCACTCTCTCTCCAATCTCTCAATCCTGATCCTCAAAGGAAACTTACAAAACACTTCCCAGAGACGAGCCTATGAACACCACTTCATCAACCTCCTGAATACTAAAAATCATGGACTAAATATAGACATTGGATTTATGACACATTATAACCTGCCTGACATCTGACTCCCCAGGTACCTCTCCACTTTCATCCCCCTTCTCTCTCTCTTCCCCCCTGTCCCCAGCTTGTCTCTCACCCATTGACTCCTCAATCTACATTTTCACTGACTACCTGTCTTGTATGCATACCAGCCCAGCTACTAGCTTCTTTACTTTTCATTCCATCCAGGAAGAGCACACACCAACTGCTGAAACTTCCTTAGCCTGATGAAGGGTTTTTGAACCCGAAAGCTTGCTTAATAATTATTTTCCAACTATTTGGGTTGGTCTAATAAAAGATATCAGATTCACCCAAGGAACCTTGTCGGCCAAACTTTCTTGATGTTCTCAGATATAAGAATGTTTCAAGAAAAAAAATTATTAGCATTGAACCTACTAGCTAAGTGTAGTTTTCTTTTTGAAAAATCAAAACTGAGATACAAATAAATGTGTCAAAGAAACCTCTCCCATACTAATGATATGGTTCTTTGAAAAGTTTATAAATTGTTGTTGTGAATGCCAAGTGTTTTATTTTACTTAACAGAACCCAGACATACGTTTAGTGTCATCAGTGGGAAAATCCACAGATCTAAACTATGTGGATCAGAGAGTCAAACATGAAAGATTCACATTTGGCATACTGTTTTACAATAGTTTAGACCTTCAAACTCTTCAATTCCATGTGCACATTTTACTGCATTGCTCTTGTCTCACTTCCAACCTAACTGGTATTTCCTAACCAAACTTTAAAATATAATTGTATCACCCCAATTTCTAATAGCTTCCGCTAGCTTTACATTCTACAAGAAAAAAAAAAAAAAATCACACATAAAAAGCTACTTTAAAAAGAACAGGAGAGCTACAAATATCAAGCAAGCAACAAGCAGAAGGCTTAAACATTTGTTGCTGCAACTGCAGTTACTGGCTGCTGTGCTTTGCAGTATTATATAATGCTAAATACTCTAAAAAGTCAGATCCTAAGCATCTTAAACTAGGTGTCCAAGAACTGGTGGATACTTTTGAACCTCTTTGCCTCGATTCCCCCATCTGTAAAATGAAGATAATGACTCCTCACCTTAGAGTGTGTTGTGAAATAAATCAACTGATGCTTGTGCGGCACTCTAGTGATGCATACTATAGAAAAGTCCCTCCAAAATTCAGAAATGCTTAAGAATACAGCTTGAATAGGATGCTATAAATATATAAGGCATGGGACAGACTGCAAGAGAAGACATTTGCTCATTAAGTGAGCACCATCTATTGTGTCCTCAGTGAAGTGGGAGTCCTATGGGAAAGCCAATATGTGAAAAATTGAAAAAAAAAATCTGTACATTCCCTTTGTATGCATACAAAGGGAGTTATTAATGTTACATGTGTAATGCTAATTCTTACATAGCCTATCTTTTATTTTTTGAAAATAGTTGTGTGCATAATTTCATGCGTCTCTCTCTCTCTCTCTACATAAAGACATAAAACCCAGAAAAATTCTCTTACATACCTTCATATTGAAGGAGGGGCAGGAGGGCAGCTTAGAAATTAACAGGCACCCTGCACTGCCTTCAAACTCACATGGCTGACTACCTCTCTCTTCTTCTCTCATTTGTCCTGTCTAAAAAGAGTTGCAGTCACACGTATAGTCTCCTTCCAACTCCTCTCTCTCTCCTGTCCCACTCCATCTCATCTTTGGTCTTACCCTTCTCCGTGGTAGTACCATTCTGGTAACTTCTTTTCATATGTATTCTTCTTGACTCCTTTGAACATGCCCATACCATGCCAGTCTTCTCTCTTGTACTTTCTTAGATGCCTCCACTGCTTCCACTGATCCTCTGATGCAAGTATTCCTCACTTTATCCATCTTTGTCACTCCATATGTTCATTGAAGCCTTCTCATCTGTTATTTTCAGTCTCCTTTCTGGAATTTTCCTCAGGGGCCATATCTCTGCTCTGTACAATATTGCTGGATGCATGTCTTGTAGACTTTCCCCTTCAGCTTCATTGATACTCTCCTGTCACACAATATTCCTGCCACCAATTTCCAGTTCGTCCACCCTGCTGTTATTTGATGATTCAACTCTTTGAGTAACTGCATTCCACTGAACAGTTGACCCCGGATAATTGAACTTGTCAACTTTTCAAACACGTTTCTCATTGATTATCACATTTCCAACATCAGGTACTTCAGAGAAAAATCACAGTGCATATATTCCATGTTGGATCAGCAAACCTTCAGTCCTCTTCCCTCTAGCACTCCTCTCCATTAGTTCAAACCAGCTTGCACTTCCTCTAGACTCTCAGTGCTAACCACCTCTCTCCACAGCTTCATATGGATACCACTCTATGGGTTGGAGCAAGATTGTACCCTTATGCTCCTCACAGATGTTAATTTAATGGTGCAACAGGACCTGAGGAATTTTATTCTGGATCCAAACTATCATGCTTCCCGTTATGACGGACAGTCAAGATATGGCATAATAGGGCCTGGGACTCAGGATACAATTCCAGATGGCAGCTTCCCAGTCCCCAAGATGAGTACATTCTGGCATGGAAATGGTGTGTGTGTGTGTGGTCAAAGACCAGAGAGCTCTCCAATACGCAGCTGAACACATCCTGGAGCAGAAGCTTTCACAACAGGGCTCACACAGCTCGATATCACAGAGTTTCTTTGTCACCAGTTACCCACAGCCCAGATCCAGCACTGGGCTTTGCATGTCCCCAAGCTGGGGGAGCCCATGGACATTCATAGATTCATAGATGTTAGGGTCGGAAGGGACCTCAATAGATCATCGAGTCCGACCCCCTGCATAGGCAGGAA